TGTCCCCACCAATGATGACCTGGCAGGGATCCACCCCATAGAGCGCCACCTTTTTCAGCAAGTGCACCGTAGCAGTGAAGCAGTCCTTCCACTGGGCGGGGTAGGGATGCTCCGGAGACAGGCGATACCTGGAGAGGCAGAATATGAACATATGAACTTTCCAGAAAGAGAATGAGGGAGAGCGAGAGCGAGAGGGTGAGGGTGGTAGGAATGGCCAGTGTAATTCAAATGCACAAATACCTTTGCATGCGTTCAGTTTCAAATTCTTAATAACTTTCAATAACAAAGTGAGATGAAACAAGATGAGACAAGGCAAAATAAAACAACCGGAGAGCCTTGGCAATTGGGCAGGCTGAAAAGGAATGCATTAAAAATAGAAAATAAACCACACTTCAAAATGAAATATTTAGTGTCAACTTTGGACCCAGGGAATCGTTTTGGATTGGTCATTTTGGCCCTGGAAGAACTCTCTCTCTGCTTTTGTATTTGCTAAGTTTAGCATGCTCAACATAACTATTCAAAAATTCAGAATGTAATAATTAATGTGAATTTTGGATCTGGGGAGTCTGTGTGTGTGTGTGTGAGAGAGAGAGAGAGAGAGAGGGAGGGAGGGAGGGAGAGGGAGGGAGGGAGAGAAGGGGAAAGGACGGGTACATGCATTAGCTAAATCCGTTCCCTAGATGATCAAGATCATTGGCTTAAGCATGTTGCACACCACACTGGCATTTGCATCCAGCAAATATGCCACAGGGATGCAGGGTGAACTGGCTATGCAGAGCACTCATTGTCAGGGGCTTAGTCAACCGGTCTGAGACCTCCTGTTTGCACGTGCTCCATGGAGGAGGGAAGCAGCTGCATCAGGATGACGCAATGGACGCAACCTTCCCATCAAAGGGTGGAAAGATGCAAGTCCTTGCACCACTGCCTGTTGTGCTTGAAGCTCAGGACTGGGAATGGCACGAAAACACTTTCCCCCCTCTTTTGCACCCTGGTTCCTTCTGGCAAGACAGTCTGTCTAAGGTCCTGCAAGAAATCTTGTTCCCCATGCAATGGACCTTGATTCAACACTGGGCCAAAAGTGTAAAGTGGTTGCAAAAAGGGCCAATGTCACTTCGGGCTGCATTCCTAGAAGGATTATCTCCCCATCATGCAAAGTTCTTGTTTCCCTCTACTCAGAACAGGTTCAGCCTCACCTGGAGTCCTGGGTCCAGTTCTGGGCACCACAGTTGAAGGAAGAGGCAGACAAGCTGGGAAGGGTTCAGAGGAGGGCGGCAAGAGGGTAGGAGCAAAGCCCGCTGAGGAGAGAGTGAAAGAGCTGGGCGTGTTCAGCCTGGAGAAGGTGAGGAGGAGTGGAGCTAGGAGGGCACTCTGCACGTGCCTGAACGCCTGTCACCAAGAGCATGGCCAAGGTCTCTTCTGGAGAGTGGGGGGCACGGCATGATGGGGTTCTGCACGGAGCAGGGGGTTCAGCCTGATGGCCTTACTGGCTCTTTCCAAGTCTATGAGTGTCCGTGATTCAAGTCACTTACCCAACAGACACAAGGACTAAATCACCCTCCTTGGCAAGTTTACTGCAAATGTCTTCGTACATAACTAGCAAGGAAAGATGAAGAATTCAGTGACACCTGGAACAGCGCACAGCTATTGGAGAGCTTGGTTCAGCATTGCCATCACGTGCCACCTTCATCACCTGCAGAAAGTGGCTCTTGCTCCTAGTACAAAGGACCCCAGGCATTTCGAAATATCCAAGATTCCTACAATTATATACATGCTTCGATACCTCTCACCAGGTAATAAAAATCTCCCCCTGCATTTCATCCTTTCAACAATCCTGTGAGGCAGGTTAGACCATGAGGCAGTGACTGGCCCCAGTCGCCCAGGGGCCTCCATGGGTGAGTGGGGCACGAACTCTGATCTCCACCCCAACAGGACTTTTTGCTTTGCAGTTTGCTTTTCTCGAAGGGCTTTGCTGGAGGAAGGGCTAAATTATCAGAACAATACGATGTTGGGGGCCATCCTTTAATTTATTGAATTGTTTTCTGTGAATTGTTTCTACAAATCGCTGATTTTTAGAAACTGCCCTTTCCTGGGGATTTTTTTTCAGACTGAGAGTGTTACAGTGGGCTTGGAGGGAGACCAGGGTGACTCCTCCTTCTGCGTCTTCAAGGGCGGAGGGCTTCCTTTGCAGTCTGGTGCTGCACTCCCCTATTGCTCCAGGCCATGCCATCTGGATGCTGCCCCCGCAATGCAGAAGCCAGGGCTGAGGTCCTCTCAATGCCAGGCCCTTCCACTTGGCAAAAGTACTGCCTACTAAGCTACCCAGGTGCCTAAACAATAAAGAGTTGCCCAGACGCCGTCCCAGTGATGGGATGAGCAACTTCCGGTTAGTCAGCAAGCCCAAAGACAAGTGATTCTTCTGGAACCTTAACCCCAGCTATTAAGGAGAGATGGAAAGAGAGATACTCCATTGGAAAAGGAAGTTGGGGGGCTTCTCTCTTTGTACTGGTGCTATGAACTGAAGCGGCTGGGCGTGCTTTACTCTTGGTGTTAGTTGCATTCTAGTTGGGTGGACGGATGGATGGAAAGACACTCTTCATTGGATATTCTGTATCAAAACCCCTTCCTTCCTTCCTTCCTTCCTTCCTTCCTTCCTTCCTTCCTTCCTTCCTTCCTTCCTTCCTTCCTTCCTTCCTTTCTTCTCAAAATACAGATTTTCACAAGGAGGTGGACACAAATATATCTGAAATAAAACTTGCATCAATATTAAGAAGAAAATTTTATGAGCCTAAATGCAACAATTAAAAAGAGGCATTAAGAAGGGAGATGGGGTCAGAAAGGACGGCGTGAGTCCTATCCCTTTCCGCCAGCATAATCCAGCGATTAATGCGCCACCTGCACCACAGGGACATCTGGCCCATGGGCAAAATAGGGTCTGGGGTTCCCCCATGCTCATTGTCATGGATCAGCAGAGGAGGAGGGTCTAGAAAGAATACATGTGTGTGAGTGCACATGACACAGCAACCTAGCAGTGGATCGGCCACTCGGCACATGAGGACAACTCACAATGTGCCCACAGAAGGGTGGGCTCGTCAGGGGTTGTCCCAGATCCTTCCTCTTGAGGGCGTCTCAGGGACCTTGTGCAGCAAAAGACGTTTTGTCTTCTGTCTTGTCCAATCTCAACCTCCATTGCAGTTTTTGCAGGGGGTTGCTTGGTTTAATCCCTTTATATTTAGAGGCCACTCCTCGTGGTCTCTGAAGGGACAGCCCCTCCAAATGCTAGAGCAGAACATTGGGGCAGCCTTCACCAATTCTCCCTTACTTGTTTTGCTGTTATTCTGATCAATAGTTCCGAAATATGAGGCACTGCATTTGCTTCCAAGCCAAGTTGCGAGAAGATAAGTTTTTATGCTTACAAGCGGGTGGCAAGTAGATTACCCTTTGAAGTAAGATCCTCTAGTTTTCAAGTTTGGAATTTTACTTTGCAAAACAGGTAGGGATTGCAACATCTTCTTCACACTGAGATCCTCCAGGTTTTATATTTGGACCAGACAATTCTCAGTGTCCTCCATCTTTTTTTACCCTTTTCTGAGCCTTTAAGAGATTGGGATAGTTCAGCCCACCCCATTTACAAGAATGCTGACTTTTGACAGCTGTCAAAAGTAAGGGTTTCTCTTAAAACAGTGTTTTTGACAGAGCTGAATTATCATCATCATTTTGGACAAAGATGTGGCTGTATGAAGTAAATGTTGCTTTAAATGGGATGGAACTCTTCCGTTTTCTAGCAGGTAGACAACCTAGAGGCTCAGAAGAGAGAGGGAAATGTAGAAGACACCGAGAACTATTGGAACCACATTTAAAACCTAGAGGATCATGTTGCAAAGGGAGCAAAATTTTTAGGAGCAAAGATCTTATGGTTTTACTTTCTGTTTGACAGTTTGTCATTTGATGGTTGTCAAGAGAAAGCAAAGTAACACAATTGAGATATACGGTGTCTACTCCAGAGGATGGTAGGTGGGACTCCAGCCAGAGCCTCTTACCAATGCTTCCAAAAATTCCAGCTCCTCCATGGAAGAAAACGAATCCTCTCCGTGGGCAGGCAGAAGGCACACTGGGCTGGTACACCCTGACGGGCACCCCATCAAAGAGCAGGTCCTTGGCGGAGAGGCCAGGACTCAGCCTTGCCCTCCTGAAGGATAACGCAAAGCGGACGAAGGCGACCTGCCTGCAGAAACCCAGCACCTCCAGGATCTTGCCCTGCAGGAAAGAAGCAAGTCTGATTAAATCACACACCCATCACCTCTCATTCCTGCTTTCACAATAGCCAAGGGTGTTGCTCTCCCCACCCCAATGTCCTGGGTAGTGTGGCACATGTATTTGCTTCCTGTATCCAAGCTGTACTCCGCCCTCTTCTTCTGTCCACACCAGCAGGTGGAGCACCGAAGCATCTGCTTCTCCCACAGAACTCCCTCCCCACCCCAAAAGGAGAACTTCTCATGCCCCAAATTCCATCTGAAGAACAACTGAAAGGGCCTGGAGAACCAGGGACTCAGTCCAGGCTGCAACCTATGACCATATTGAAAAGAAATGGAGCTAAATTTCTGATGTATGGATTTGAGGATATTTATGGATTTTTCCCTGTATCTGTATGATCAGATATACTGGAGCCCAGAAGGAGCAGAATGAAAGCATAACAAGCAACATTCTTGATGGAGAAGTTGATGAGTGACCCTTTCTTTAGTAAAAAGCAACTGCCTTTGTGCAGTTAAACTATAGTTGAAGAGAGAAAGAGAGAGATGCTTTGAAAGGAAATATGGGTGTCCAGCAGCATGGGACGTAACGGATTCTTAATCTAAAGCTGCCTCATTTCTCTCTGATCCACTGGCAAAAGGAGCCCCTATGATTTCACCAGGATGAAAAGCACTCGTACAAAAACCTCTTGAAGGGACAAATGGGTTCCAAGCATTTATATTAATTTTGTTCATTTAGAAATCCAGGACAAGAACTCTGAAAGGAAACTTGGTTGGTAGCTTGATCTCCCTACAATATGGCAGGGCTGGGGAACCTCTGGCTCTTTAGATGTTCAGCTTCCATCAGCCCCAGCCAGGATGGGCTATGGCTCAGAATTATGGAAGTTGTAGTTGGACAGGGGAGTCGCTTCTTTCACCGTAACTCCATATCTGGACATCTGTCTAGTAGAAAGCAAGACACAGTTAAGACTGCTGCAAATCTTGAGCTCAATGGCCTGCATTCTGGTCTTACACATTCCAGACCAACTGCTCCTCAACCTTGTCATCCCAGGAACACAACCATGGACTGGGGAATGCTCCTTTAAGCCTCACGCGGCCAGCCCATGAGATGCAGACTATTCTTCTTGCACTGGTTAGCTCTGAGACTAAATAGTTTCACATTGTAAGCCATGCGGCCTTCCCATCTAGTGGTTTCCTTTCCCACCTTATCCTTCCCTCCCATCTTCAGTGTTGTTTACAACTTGCTTCTTGAAAAGATCTTGGGATATTGAGAGCTTGCACAATTTTTGTTCGGGATCTTCCAACAGCAGGCACAAAAATCAAAGCTCTTCCTTGGACTAGTGGGAGATCTGTTGGTTATCACCTGCTGTTTACCACCCCGAGAGCTTTGGCTAAAGGGCAGAATAGCAATAAAATACAATAAGTACAAATGAATAAACTAAGCAGACAGGATGGAGCAAAGCTCAGGGAGTCAAGGTTCAATTTGGATGCCAGGAAGCACTTCCTGACAGTCAGGACCCCGAGGGTGTGGAATGGGCCTCCATGAGAGGCCGTTGAGGCCCCATCGGTGTGGGTGTTCAAGGATGGGCTGGACGTGCACATGGTGGGCATGTCGTGAGCGGAGCTGGCTGGTGCCGGAAGTCAGACTAGATGGCCTGGGAGGCCCCTTCTGACTCGCTCTGTTTTCTATGTTTCTATGTACAGAGCAAAAGTTCCAGGATGGTGTTTCTTTAAAAGGTTGAGGGCACTCTGTTGAAAGAGCCCGGCTCAAAAGGTTGTCTGAACCAGAGTTTGCTTTTGACCTATTACTGGCGGACATTGATCTGAGGGGAAAATTCTTGCTATATTGAAAAGAGAATCCTATTTACTTTAATTCTTTAATCTGTTCAAAAGAATCCTCCCTTAATGTCCAATGGAACTTTCTCCAGGGTTGAGAAGTATCGTTATATAACGTGATCGTTATATGGAGCAGCTTAGAATTTGCAAAGAGTGTTTTGCAAAAAGCATCAACGCCTTTTCATCAAGGTGCCCCAAGCTGGCAGTCTGGCTGCTTTTCCTTCTTTCCTTCACTTGCTCTTTTGTTCTTTCTGTTTAAATTTTGCTTGTAGTATTGGTATTCCACACCGAATCCAGGCAGAGTAGTAGAAATATCCTGCCACCCTCTGCATATAAGCAACAGCCTTTTCGTTGCTCCATCAATTAAGACTCCAGTCCCGTCCCTGGCTGCCTTGGCCATCAGGTCTCTTGCTGCCCAAGCATTTGTATCTCCATTCAGGATAGCTGGAACATTCTCCTGGTTCACACAACACGGCAACCTACCATGGGTGATTGACCATCATGGTTGTGGGTTACTTCCTTCAGAGTAAAGCAAGATATGACACACGCTCCTATTCAGTGGGGCTTTTTAGCCATGCCAACTTTTCTTCTGAACTTTATAGGAGCCCTCCATGGTGCTCCATGGTGGTGAACCTATGTGGGCGGATGCAATTCAGCACCATGGAGAGTGCCATTGCACCAAACTGCAGGTACTAATTCATTCATGTAAAAATACATATAATTAGAACTAATTACTATAATTTAACTTTTACAGAAGGCAAGCAGACTTACATGAGGTTAGCAGATTTCAGGGCAAAACTATGCATTGATGGCATGAACCCAGTCAAATAAGGCATTTATATAATAACTTGCTTTTATTACAAGGTAAATTTCACATTCCAAATTTTGATAACCCAATATTCTCCTTTAAGTGTTTTCTAGTAAATGGAGTTATCTTGAACTAGAAAATCTTTCCAGATTGTCTGCTTCATCCATTGTTGATAAGCTTGGTTTATTCCTTTGGTGTCAGGACAGAAGTTGTGCTCCATTTTGAGTCCCTTCTATCAATCAGGGTAGGTGTGCTCAAAAATTCATCCCAGCGCAACTGGAATTGTGTGAATGGGCTGGGGGAAGGGGACTAACCAATAGGCATTCCCATCTGCCAGTTACATGGGAATGCCCACTTCGCAAATGTTGTGAAATATTCTTTCTTGATTGATTGATTGATTGATTGATTTATATCCTGCCTTTCCTACAAAGTGCTCAAGGCAGCTGACATCATTCTCCTCCTCCATCTTATCCCCACAACAACAACCCTGTGAGGCAGGTTGGGCTGAGAGTCTGCGGCTGGCCCAAAGTCACCCAGGTGGCTCCATGGCTGAGTGGGGACTTGAACCTGGATCACCTGAGTCCCAGTCCCATGCTCTGAACCACAACACCACACTGGCTCTCAAGTACTTCTGGTTTTCCAACTAGCAAATATTTTCTAACTAATTCAACTGTTCTACCTACCACACACAGAACACTAAATCTTAGTTGTAAAAAGTTACATGTTCTGCACTTAAAAGTAATCGGGGGGTCTTGGAATATGTGTGTGCCAAACTTCAGCTGCCATTTTGGATTAGAAGAACTTAACTGAGCGGACTATATTTTAGCTCCTCTTTTCAGGAAGATACATCCAACAAATTCCAGCTTTCTCAGTGATGTGGATGTACTCGATTTTTTCCCGCCCTTCTGAATGAATCCGAGCAAAACAAAAGTCAATGCAAGAGATTCTTAATTAAATCTTCCTTCCTTTTTTTTGTAAAGACCATGCAACTTTAGCAGACAATCATTCTCATCAGAACATTCTCATCAGTGGAGGACAAGAATCAAACTCCTTCCCAACCACCCTATAGATTTTTCACAATCGAAATTCCATTCCAGTCTCCTTTACATACTTGCAGTTCTGTACATAAGGCAAATAGTAAGCAGGGGACATGGAAAATAGGTTCACTGGGGAAAAATGAGCTCATTAGCCTCTTCCTCCAATTACTTAGTCAAAATTATGAGTTATGAAATCATGAATCCTTTGTACGGTGTGACTTTCGCTCCTCTACAAGGTGCCTCCTCTTATCTGTGATAACAACATACAGTTCTTATCTCCCGCAACAACATTGTTATGTGAACAACGATGAGATGAGATCGCCCCTGGAAACCTATCACCAAAAAAGAGCAGCAGCTGCAACAACAACAACCAACCAATATCTAAGCCCTTTTCCCCAATTCTATTCAATGTGCCATACTATCCAGTTTCCCTTGAGTCCTGTACCTTTCACTTTCAGAAGATCACAAACTTACCAAAGTGAATGCTATGATGCATCCCCAGTGCACGATCCGAAGCTTCAAGGGATGGTCAAATCCAGAGGGAATGCTGGCCCTGGAGAGATCATAATAAATGGCCCAGGAAAGCAACAAGAAAAAGACAGTTACTATAATTTCACCAGCTCCAAGCAAGATGGCATAAGTAAACCCCATTGTCCTTTTCTGGGGTTTGGACACTAAATAAGTAAGCTACACGGTCTAATAGCTCTCTACCGAGAGATCTATTGAGCCTTGTAATGACTCTGCCATCGTTCTGCAACATCTGTCCTGTGGTTAAAAACTGTTTGGTGCAGTAACTACCTCTTATTAAGAACGCCTCCACATGACCCTTAAAGGATTGGGAAACTTTAATGGAGTTCAGCCATTGAGCAATATGTGATGAGGAACTTTATCAGAATTCGATCCAAGTATGATAAGAACCCAGCATAAGTATCATCTTATCAGAAATGGAGGCATTGGTCCAGTCTTTTCCAGTGATTCCAGGCTACTCTTAAGATATGAAGAGCAAAATGTATTAACATCTGTGCAAATGTAATAAATGAACCAAGAAGAATAATGGGGAAAGTACATTCCCCTTCTTCACGGCGTGGACCTCATCCTAGAACCAACGGCCTACTCCACCTGCTCTGTGGATGAGTGGCTCCCAGGTCTGGGAGATGAGAAGGCTGCAAGACGCTCTGGATGGGTGATGTTACTCTGAAGGATTTGGTGCATGGTCTGGGGGTATTTCTGTATCTGTCTTCATCACCAGAAGCCCAAGAAAGTGACCTGGAGTACCTTTTATCAGCGTTGGTTGGTGGCGGTCCATGGGTCAGGATAGCTTGGCTCCAGTGCCTGTGGGACAGCTTTGGTGGAATGGCAGATCTTACAGCTGTAGCTTTTGTTAGATATTCAACTGCTATTATCTCTTCAGCATCTCCCACACTTCACTTCTTGGAATCACTTCTTGTGACCAGTCATTCTGATTGCTCTGTAATCAATACCAATCAATGATTGATCAATATTATCAGTGAATACACATGATGTGCAAGGTCCTTCATAAGTCGGAATGGAAAAGGTTACAGAACTGTGCAATTTTGCCTACTCAGTGGGTCCAACTTTAGCATCTCCGCCTGGAGCGTACTTGGATCTCAAGGTATCTCAAGGTGGTGTTGTTGCTAGTTGCAAAGTCGTGTCCAACCCTTCACGACCCCATGGACAACACTCCTCCAGACCTTCCTGTCCTCCCCCATCCCAAGGTATCTTTAGTCAGCAAGAATGCTTTGCTTTGTTGTGTTTATTGGATATTCAAGGATTCTGTTTTATCAGCTCATTTATGTTGTTGGGGGAGCAACAGGGATAATTCTTTTGGTAATCCTATATTTTGGCCTTGCTTGGTTGTTGCCTCCTTTTCAGAGGCAGTTATTATACAGGTAAATACTGATTAAGGTTAATCAAATGCATTCATCCTCCATCCATATTTAGAAATGCTTATTAGCAGTAAATAAACATGGTACACAGGGTCTCTGACAAGACTGGAGCAGTGGGCTGTATTTTCCTTTTTTTGCCATATTGATGGCCCAGTGTCTATTTACTGAAGCAGTCATGTATTTTAGGTTATGCCTCATTCAGAAAAAACAAAACAAAACAAAACTCATGTTCTGTTCATTCATAGCCCCAGCTATGGAATGCACTCCCTAGAGAGGCCTGCCTGGCACCATCATTATATGCTTTTTGGTGCCAGGTCAAGGCCTTTTTATTCAACCAATATTTTAATGTTAATAGATTTGAAGTATTATACTTATTTTAATCTGTTTAATTTATTTTAATAATTAATTTTATTTATGTCAGTCATGGGATATCTAATCTATTATTGTTTGGGATATGTACACTGTATTTATAGATTTTATTGTAAGCCATCCAGAGACAAAAGTGATGGACGGCCTAGAAATTTTCAAAATAAGCAAATAAAATAAAATGTTCCAAGGTTTTGGGCCCCCACGCACATTTTATCTAATGTTGTACTATGTTGGCTAGTTTTTGGAGATGTTATGCAGCTGAAGCTGCCCAGAGGCATCCTGGCTAATGAACTGGTTAGAAAACAAACAAACAAACAAATAAACAAACAAATCTTGTTTGGTTATACATTTTGGCCATAGCCCAATGCTTGTGCCCTTTTCTTGGGAGGGGATGTTATAGATTTGAATATATAATGGATATATTTTATAGGTAAAGGTGAAGGTTTCCCCTTGACGTGAAGTCCAGTCACACCTGACCCTTGGGGGCGGTGCTCATCCCCGTTTCCTGGCCGAGGGAGCCAGCGTTTGTCTGCAGACAGTCTCCGTGGCCATGTGGCCGGCATGACTGAACACCGAGGTGCACAGAAGGCTGTTACCTGCCCACCAAAGTGGTACCTTTTCATCTACTTGCATTGGCATGCTTTCGAACTGCAAGGTTGGCAGGAGCTGGGACGGAGCAACAGGAGCTCACCCAGTTGTGCAGGTTCGAACCGGCGACCTTTCACTCAACCAGCCCAGCAGCTCAGCAGCTTAAACCACTATGCCACCTAAATCCCTGCATATTTTATAGCAGACCACAATTTAATATTAATTGAAGCACCTAGCCTCTTAAAAGATCTACCTGCTTCCTAGAAGTTAAGACATGGTGAATACAAATGGATAGTTTGTGCCTTTTGACAGATGATGTCACAGCCTTGGAAAGATCAATGGCTCCCTGTGATACTCGAGTGGATTGTGGACCTAACAGTGCTTTCAACATTGAACAGGTGGTTTTCAGATGCTACTCATGAATGGATACCTATATGGATATTTTGGTCTGCTTATAAATTTGTGCATAATTCTCAGAGACCAGTGTGGTGTAGTGGTTAAGAGTGTGGGACTGGGACTCAGATGACCTGGGTTCTAGTCCCGACACAGCCATGGAGGCAACTGGGTGACTTTGGGCCAGTCACAGACTCTCAGCCCAGCCTGCCTCACAGGGTTGTTGTTGTGGGGCTAAGATTGAGAGCAGGAGAAGAAAAATCTCGTAAGCCACTCTGAATCCTTTAAAAGAAAAAAGAGGTATATAAATCTAATAATTAATAAATAATTAAATTACTGCTCTGTCTTGCACATACACACATATTAAGATGTAAGCATGAGAATCAATGCAATTAATTTTTTAGAGCTACATTTTTAAACAGTTCCACTTTTTTGTTTTGCTTTGGTTGAAATTTTACAAGACGAGTAATCATAAAACACAGTGGTTCAGGTACTGGTGACCCTGAAGTTGGATTCTTGCAATATGGTATCTGTGAGGCTTCCTTTAAGTTTGGTCCAAATGCTGCAGTTGATGCAAAATGCTTCAGCTCGGTTGCTAAGTGGGGCAAACTATAAAAAACCATCAAACTATTACACCTGTACTGAAGGAAATAAACTAATTCTTATTTGGATTACTTACCTTATGCATTCATTCATTCATTCAATTTTAATTTTAGTTATTCACTTAATTAATTAATTTCTATACTGCCCAGTTAGTCAAAATGACCCTCTGGGTGGTTCACAAAATCAAAATAAACAACAAATACAATATCCATAAACAAAAGAAGAACCATCAAAATCAAAGATAAATACTACACAAATAGCAGCGATACATGCATGAATAAGCCCAGAACAGCTGTGCTCAAATTGGTTCAAGGTCACAGCAGCGATAAAATATAGTAAAATGTAATATGGTCTAAAAGATTAAAATAATTAACAGTTAAGATATTGGCTACAGCTGAGTGTCATCTGCATAGCAATGCCATCTCAGCCCACACCCCTTGATAAGCACCTCAGCAGTTTTGGGTGGCTGTTACATTACCAGAGCTTCAGCTTCTACATCTTTTGCAAAACCAGCAAAGGTTCTTGTGACGTTTTAAGTTTATTTTTGAATGTGAATTGCACCAAAATGGAACTGAAACAAAGGAACAAAAACAGTTGAGAAAATAATAATAATAAATATCCAACTAATAAATCTGATATGCTCTCATTTACGATATTGTTTGGATATTTCTCTATCACTCTTAATTTTGAATCATAAATCAGAGTGTATCGGATATACATAAACTTCAACAGAAGTGCAACCCATTCCATTCAAGACTGGCACCTGTTTGTCATTTGCTTAAATATTGAACATGTCATTAACCCTTCAACGTGTAGCATTATGAGCTTTCATGTTTCTGATGTTGTTGTATTAAGCTGTCAAAAATGAGCAGAAGATCCATTTACACTGACCAAGGGTTGACATCCCCGCGAACATACAAAATCATCAGAGACTGTTGTCCTACAAAGTTTATTTGAAGTATAACCTCCGCCCAAATGTCTATCCAAACTGAGGCAACCACAGGACATCGGTAAACCATATGATCTGTGGTATTATGTCCCCAGCAGCTGACTGACCTTGATAAACCCTTATTAATGAGAAGCTGTGGTATCCAGCAAAGTGGAAAACAAGTTTTTGCTGACGCATAATATGAGATCCGTTGAAGCTTTGGATTAGGGAAGCAGGAGGCCTCTCCAGAATCTGGTCCACATTTGACAGTCGGACGTCTTCTGGTGTTGTTCCCTCACTGAGGACGTGAGCTGAGCACAAAAGAAGCCATGAGTATTTGTCTACACTGCTGGAACTCCTCTTTGCATCAAAATGATGGCACGCAACAGATGTGTGATGTGGGCAGGTGTGCATGTGGAGAGATGCATGCACTTGGTCCCTTCTAACTTCAGCACACCTGGATCTATTGGCTTCTCCGGGCTGAGGTCCCCAAAATCCATCCACTTTGTCATGGCCTTGAGTTGGACTTCCTGGTGAGCACTCCCCGCATTTGCCAGGAATCGAGCTGCACCAGCCGTGCCCCAATCCTGCGCCACATACATGGGTGGTTTGTGCCCACTGAGAACAGCAGGTGATCCTCTGTGTCCACAGGATTCCACTAGGGCCGAGAGGAAGGATGTGAAATGCTACAGGGTTGGCCTCCAGGAAGAGAATCAAGGAGAATCTTTCTTTGATGGACCTTGCACTCCCGTTAAGCAACAGGAATCGTTTTTGCTTCTTTGTTCTCATGAAGTTGCTTAGGGCCGTGTACTTTTATATGGTGTGTTGTTTATGTCTAATCTGGTCTTTTGATCTCTCTCTCG